CAATTCTATAAGTTGAGACATTTCATGTATGTGAATCGCTGAGAAAATAAGTATTTCAGCCAAATCCTAGAACCTTACATTTAAAATTTGCATTTTTTACATTAACTGAAATGATACTGATTCTAATTTTGAAACAATGGCTGAAATATTTCCAGATTGTGAATCGAAAAAGCTTCAAGAATTTATAGAAAATGCAGCAAATGTAAACACCAAAAAAAAAGACCTTTATGTGGCCAACAGTTCGGACGACGTGGGCTGAAGAAAAACGGATCCGTCTGGATATTTTGAGCTTCGAAGCCAAGGAAATTGATGTGAATCTGAAGAAGTTTTTATCTCAGAAAGAATGACGACTCGGACTATAAGTCAGACAGTTTGGGGTTAATGTCAGCGTCACTGGACGTTCTTTTAATGGAAGCTCGTGGTATTTTGCAGAATTTTGGAACATCGCTCTCGCGGTGTTTTTCTCAAACACCCCTAAAAAACATGCGCTATTCCCTAAACAAACCTTAGAAAAGGACATACCTGTCGAAAGTGGATTTCTTTTGACGATTTCCTATTTTAAATATTTTCTTACCAGAGTGAATATTAATATAAGTGTTAACAAGCTCACTAGGCGTAATCATTGTTTGGTTTGGGCGTCCTGCTGATATTCTTAGAGAGACACTGACGAGGGGCGTTCTGCGAATTAGATAAAATGCCCCTTCTGTCAAATGAAATGTTTTGGAATAACTGAAAATATTTTAGTTTCTTTTAACTGCTCAGCTTGGTGTTAGTGAACACTGCTTACATTTCTTTGCGTATAACGTTTGAAACACTCGTTAAAGGATACGGCCAATCCCATATGTAGCCAGCTCCTTGCTTCTTTGTACAAGCAAAGCTCCACGCAAGCACTGGCGGCTGAGAAGGTAATGACGTGAGGTATCTAATTAATTACTATCCACATATAAAAGTAGCCTGAAAATCGTCTCACACCCCATTCACATGAGCAAAACATTTTTAGTCAAACCGGGTTTAACTGAATGAAACCAGAAAGAGAGGACTGAAAAACTGAATTTTCTATAGAATTCATACAATCGCTTATTTGCATTTTCAATATGTTATATTTGAAGTCGACTAACATCGGTTTATACAAATTCTACGAAGAAAAAAATTTAAACTTTGTTTAACAAAATGACTTCAAACATTTAACATTTAATCTTTGGTGTAAATGAACCATTACTGGTTTAATTTTCATTTATAGCTCACTGACCTTAACTTGCGCTTTTTATCTACATAGCAAACATTTACGGGCCAGTTATTGTTGATACCCGAGGTACATCAGCTGCCGTAATCCATACAATTCTCTTGAAGAAATCACAGCAAAGTGGTTTGATGAATTTTGACTGCAACACCCACCTTTCTTAATAGCTTTGATTAAACTGGGTTCTAACTGAACAGAAACTGTTGCATCATTGAGACATTCCTCGTAGTTTCCTAAGGAATTCAGGAAGTAAGTGTCAGTCGTCATCACGTGCCAATTTACGTATCCGTCTTTATACCTGTCCTAGACTTGGCCTTAGTTAAAACCAGGCGAAAATCATTTTATTGGGTTAAATTGGGGGAGATAAGTTTCACATTTTGACCCATACGACATTAGGAGAATGTGGTCAAACACCTTCGTTTTTCGCCTCTTGTCCTTTAGATATTTCAAACTTGGCAACTGAGTATGGTCACAATAAACTCACAAAGTTCATCTCAGGGCAATTCTCCTTATATTGATTTTTAGTTTGTGGTTTACTTATCAAAGAAGTAGCTCTACGCTTCTTTGGTATCATACTAGTCCGTCGCTGGAGTTTTTTTCTTATGCTGAATAAGGCGACGCACACCCGAATTTCCTGAGTGCTGTATTACAAATTATTTCAATTCTCCTTAGAGAACGATGTGTTTCGGAATAAGTATTGTTCTTTGCAACCTTGAAGACTTGAATAAAATATGAGTAGATTACTCGGATCTGGGAATTTCGGTTTTTCTATAGCTTCTCTTCACTTTAGACTATATGACCCTGTAAGCGCTTTGCTCATATTTGATTGCTTTTCCAGGCATCTTTTGAGAGGATTCCTTGGTTTTTTCTCCATAAAATTCGTCTTTTTAAAAAAGTCATTGATTCTTAAGTTACCAGATGGCCGAGCCATTATTTCGGTAGTCGAGTCAGCAGAATATAAGTCACAACGACTGGCGAGGGAGGACATGACGTCACGTAAGAGGACTACCACCTTGATTTAAGGATACGCGCTTTTTGAGGGGTAACCGCCATAAACTAAATTGTTCCGTTTTAGCTTGATATAATCGTAAACCAGCCGAGACGCGACAATTCGAAATGGAAGATATTATACTGAGTAAATTAGACGCGTAATTAATTCTAACCACAGAACGAATAAATTTCCGCACAACATCAGTCCTGAGATGTTGGTCTTCAAACCTGTGTTGGAATTTTTCGATATTCTTATTGGTTGCTTTGCAATTTATTTGGCAAGTATGCTTATCATAATTTTACGGTAAGAATATCTCACAATTGCGATGAAACTTTGCTTGAGAATTTCGTCCTAATGTAGAATTTCCACGTGTAAAGTTGCCAGTTTCTTTTAAATATTAAGGCGATAAATGATGCAAAAATGGCAGGGAAGGCGGCAGGCGAGGATAAAATCCTGTTTAAAATGGGTGCAGATTGTACATTCATTATCTTCACTGAGTACGTTCCATGAGGAATTTAGTAGTTCCTTTAAAAAGATTCTTACCCAAATGGAAATGAGCTGCTGCTCTGTTGCTATAAAGCTTGGCGTTCAGCCGTATATCTTCGCAGTTCACTTGAAGACCTTCCGAGTAGGAGTTTATCGCGTTTTGATGTTCTCCCTGTCTGTATTCTTTGTTACCTTCCTCGAGACATACTCTTGCTACATCTGAAAACACACCGGTTTAACATTAATGATTTCGTTTTAACAAGGTTTTGTTTTCATGTTGTTAGATCCCCTTTCTAATTCCCATCCTTTACAGGCCTTTCGTTCTTTTTGAACAGTCGGTTACTGTATACGTGGGCCCGCCGACCATAAACCCTCACCCCACTGATATCTATAAGTTTTACAAAGCGTTAACTCTAAGATGATGTTTTGAATCACTTCAAATGGTCTCCAGACCAATGAAATTCGGGAACTCTGGCCATATATGGCGTGGTGTGTTTGAAGGAACGCAGAATCAGATAAAACTTTTTGTAAACGTTATTGCCCATTTGATTTCCACGATCAGTCTCCTCTCGACCTTAGTTGCAAATGTTTTATCACAAATGTTTTTTAAGTGTATCAGGATATATTTAGCAATAGCAGTGATTCATAATTTATAAAGCAACTGCAAAAGTGTACGTGGTGTAAATGAGAAGCATTCTCAACATTTTCTTTGATTTTGATTCAAATCTATCCCTGATACTGAGTACGATACTAATTTTTTCATTACATTTTTCTTGTATTTCTAGCGGTAATAAATTTAATGATGATTTTCATTCCATGTATATGTATACAATTGTACACCTCACACCTACAGCTTGTTCGCGACCCACGCAGCAATAAAACTCAGTGTTTCTCTGTTGATAAAGTTTAAATTCGAACATATAGTTTCTGTTTCGAAAGTTATTCACAGAATAGGTAAAAAACTTAAATGAAAATGTGCCTAGTTAAAAACCACACCGAGGCGTCTTTTAAAGAATCTAATTTCTCACCTCTTAATGGATCATCGTATACCTCCAGTTTGGTGTCATTTGATGTCACTTGACTTTCGTTTGTCCCTGAAATTCGATCATTTGATAAACATTATTACTATTGCCAGAGAAAACGGCAAAAATATGAAAAATAAAACTTTATTAAAATGAATTATTATGAGTAAAAATTCATTTGTAGTCCATGCGAATTGCTCTAATTATGACGACCGAGTTTGAAAAGCGCTTGCTGAAAACTGATGTTCAGATCCTTTTTTCCGTGATGTCAACGGCCATTTTGAATCGTTATGCGGATTACCGCTGTACTTCCAGTCCCAGACTTGCCACTCTTGATAATACCCACTAAAGATGTACTTAACTATTCCACCACTAAACATTACAACCGCTTCAAAATGACCATGTAGCTGCCTTTTTCTATTGCTCTCTCTCACCTGTGACCCGAATCTCATTGTTCAAATCCAGTTCTTCTCCCGTTGTCGGAAGTTTACTCTCCGCCATAGCTGGAAATAAAATAGAATAGAATTTTACTGCGCTAGGAAACATCCTCACGAAACAAAAAAGGATACTAAAATGAAAATAACCCGAAAAGAAAGGCGGAGACCAACTCCGTCATGCTATTGTGATGGGATTTTGCTTATAAAATTCCCTACCCTCTGGATACCGACGGCAGTATAATGCCTGCGGGTTTCCCGTGAAACGGGGTCGTTGAATCTTCGAATTGTACGACGCATTTTACAAATCCAAAACGCAGTCAAGGGTTTGCACAACTGTCTCGAGTTCTTCCAAAATCCCGCAACCTAATATGCAAAGAAGCGCGTTTACATCGATGATCTAAACATAACTCTCAACCAATTAGAGCGAGAGAAAGATTTCATTTGGTTTAAGTATTTTCTTGCGAATTTTCCATAGCTCTCGTAAATCAGAGTTTTCAGTGCGTTTTTCCACTGCGTGAAAAAGGCTCCAGCGAATAAAATATTCCACAAATATTCTTCTAAAGAGAGCTAAGTAATCATGAATGACCGGAAGCCACTAACCCGTGACAAAATGTGTTTTGGGAAAAGCCTTCCTTTTTCATTTCTAATAAATTATGATCCAGAATTTTCTGAATAAAATGGTATTTTAGGAGCTGTATATTTATCTTTGCATCGGCCTTCTGGCTATCGAGAACAATAATCTGCTCACACATCAAAAGCAAGTTGAGAACCAAGCGCTGGTTCTCGCATCTTGTAGGCCATGGAGAGACTTTGCTGCCAGATTATAGGAGCATTTGAAACCGAAATAAAACTGAAAAAACCTTTTGATATCACAAAACTATGGAGAAATAAAAAAATATCTGTAAATGCATGGCTGACATAACAGAATCTGTTGCTATTTAATTTTGAAGGGGATATAAGGAAATTTCTCTTGTTAGACAGGCGTGGTATTCTCCGCGTCCTTCAGAGCAGGATTCTACGCAACCATCAGCATTTTCCGAGCCTGAATGTTTACTTTCCGAAGTAAACACGTGAGCCAATGTAGTTCGTCATTGCGCAAAGAGAATTTCTGCCAAAACCGAATTTCGACCGAACCGCGAAGTACGACAAATCACCTTTTGGATGAGTAGTTTAAATTGTTGAAGAAAAAATTAATATTAATTTTCGAGGAGGTCGAACGATGCTTGCAAAGCTTCAAAAAAAAAAAAAAAAGCAAATAAATAAAAATAAATGGTAACGTTGGCGAAGTTTCATTTTCATACATGATCAAGAATTCGTAATAATTAAAATTTAGGGTTGAATTTTTCATTTTCATGTTACATCGCTCTTTGTCACGTTACTCCAATTTCTCGTCTTTTTTTTTGTTATTTTCATGTGGTGTAACCCACGAGCGAACAAGATTAAGGCAAATCCAGCTGTGTTCTGATCAGCTACCCAAAGGGTGTGATGTGCTCTCTCGGGATTTTCCACATTGAAGTCGAAAAAAAGAAGTGATGTGTTTGTAGCTGGTTCATTACTTTGTAATTTCTTAACCAGACATTTTTTTGTTTCACAAACAAAAACGTTTTCCAGCAGTTTTAAATTCAAAGGAGCCACGAATATATCTCTTTGTAAGTCAAAGTAAAGAAAACCACAACGAGTCTCGCGGATTCATTCATTTTGGTAACCTCTTGGTTTATATAAATAATTTTTCTGTATAATATATCCCTCATTGACGAAACCATCGTCTCGGTCCTTAACAATCCTGAGAAGGAACTTGGCCGAATTTACGCCTTCTTAAGCTCATGATCAAGCTTGTCCAGTTGCGGGGTATTACGTGTCATGATTAACAATTATTCGCCGCAGGCTCAATGAATATTGTTGAATAATCCCTGAGACTAATCATCGGAACAATTATACTATAGTAATTTATAATATGAAAACTGTTTAGTACCTGTTAAACCGCCATCCTCTGAATCGGTTTATCCTCTAAAAGTTGTCATTATTATTTCTACATGCCTGAAAATATCAAGAATAATACGTTTTGCTTTACTAAAATTTCGATAAAACCATGAAAGATTTCATATTAACGAGCAATAGATCAGTCTATAATCCCTTGTCACGAGTAAATAACAAATCTCTTCAAATGTCCAGTTTAGAAATTAAAATTGTTCTTTTACTTCATGAAAGTTCTCGTGCTTGTCTTTTTCTTTGTTTTTGTTCTTGCTCTCCAATTTTGTGTATATTTTTAATGTTTCTGTATTCCTATTACTTCATCCTGCGATTGAGACTTAGGCTCAGTCATTTTCTTTTCAATATAGGACACAAACTATCCGCAATTCAAAATCCTTTTTTCAGTTCCCCGGAGAAGGACAGTCTCCTTCATATAAAACTGAATTGACAAGGATGAAGACAACCTCAGAGTTATACTGCTCAAGCGGTGCACATAACACTGGAATCAGCCATGCTGTAGTTTCATAAATCTCTCTTGGGCAGATAAATCAGTTACTTCGATGTTTATTATGTTTATTTTAGTGTCAGCATTGAGAAATAATTCCTTCATCGAATTCAAACTAATAAAGAGAGAGGAGCAATTTTTTGCTCGGGGGTCGAATAAAGAAAAATCTTTTTATCCGTCACGAGTGTGTAATTAAGAGAATCTAAGCATCTTCGAGGATTCAATCTCTAAACCCGTAGATCTCGATGTTTTTAATTTCTTCATTCGACGATGGAGCTTGAACTTTACTCTCTTTCTTTATTTATTTTCAGACATGACGCTTTCGACGATTCAGATCCCAGGAGAATGCGGGAAGTCTTGTCAAATATGAACCCAGCGTATGTCTTGACTCACTAACGAGGTCTTTTGTAACTTTGGACTGGAGATTTAGATCATAAAATTTGAATTTTAAGGTTCGAATCCTCGAGGGAAACTAGCGATTTTTCTTTCTCCCTCGCTTACGACGAATTAATGTCATATTTCTCTGATTCTTTCGTCGTAAGTTTAAATTTTTTTTCACATGTGTATTTAGTCATTAATCCAGTACTCACCTGTAACTCTTGTGAAATTGTGATTTTCCCCGCAAGCGTATAACAAAACGGTTTACTTGGTAACACGAGCAGTTTCGAAGAAGCTGAATACAATTATGAGCTTATTGAACTCAAAACAAAAAATGGTGTATCATTTGTTAAATTTGTAAGTCACGAATCAATTTTTTGGTCATGCATGCTATTTTACTTTTCAATCGTCATGCTGGAACTGAACGTCAGATAAATTTATAGCTTTTCTTTTTCGTTTTAAGGAGCGGAGTAGGTCACAAATATGAATGTAACGCAGAGTCTAACTTCCCAGCGGCCAGGGACAGTCTCATGGACTAAATGTCCAGTAGTCAGGAATTTTCACAGAAATTCTACCGAGAGGTTCTTTCAAACTTCTTAAAAGTGTTGAATGCTTGTTAAGAAATTTCATACGATTCCAAAGTTTAGTAAGTTTTTTGGTTGACGAGTTATTGCCTAGTGTCATGTAAAGAGTGTTTGATCCGCTCAGGAAGTCATTTCCCATGCGCCCGTTACCTGCCACGTTCTCGTTGCCTTCGCGGTCACACAACAAGCAAGAGCTGCCACTAATTAGTGTTAAGAATTACTAACAGAAATATAATTCCTTGAGTGAGGCTTAAGCGTATAACACGGCGTTTATAGGTTATATTTGGACTGACCAAAAATCACTGTAAATTTTTCAGGTGCACCTGATGGCCGGCAAACTTAAAACTCAACTGACATCATTAGAAACTAAAACCTTGCCGTAGCTTGAATTTATCTAACACTTTTAAAATGTAACAGAAAATTTTCTTTTATATCGACAATGAAACATTTATCAAAGAGACTAAATTTTGATCGCAATCGAAGGATTCAACACCATCGGATTCATTTGCGACTTTGATCACCGCTCGTGTCATTAGAGAAAATCGAGAGAAAATTTCCCTATTGATTAGCGCTGGTGCACACACAGAGTCATCTGCAACCCACCTTCGGATACGTCGGTGGCTGGGATGCATGCGGGCACTGGCCTGGACGTTAAGCCCTCAGCATTTTCTTCGGCAAAGCTGGCTTGGGGGCGGGCCATACCCGCCTTCATAAACAGTAATGCCGCCACAAGATAAATATACCCTCAAAGATGGTTATGAAAAAATTTTAAAATTTGCTTCTCAGCAACTGCTGGTAAGGACCACCTTTAAATAAACAAAGATAGAAGACCTCTTTGGAATAGATACACTGAAGACACTACTGCAACTTTGAAGATCTGTTGAATTATGCAATTCTTTTTAGTCAGCCTGTTATTAGAGTATTTTGCATATGGTTGGGTAAGAACAGAGTAAGAAAGAAGTTCGAAAGAAGGTTTATTCCCCAACTACAATGCTTTGTATCTCCAAGACACTTCGCTGATCAAAACTTTCTTCACGGCCATCGGCGTTTTGACTCGCTGAACAGGAGTTGAAATCAAATGCTTTGAGGGACCTGAGATGTTCTTTATATAATCAGCTCGTAAATCGGTTAAATATTTGTCGCTAAAACCGAGAATATTTTCAATTTTCCCAATCAACGAAATTGTGCCAAAAGCAGGAATTTCAGATAAAGAACGCTTAGAATTTTGTAATTGATGAGTATCGGGAAAAGGCCGTTTTTGAGTGTTTCTTTCGTAGGAGCTAAATGTTTGGAATATTTTATCGAAAATTCCTCTCAAGGCCAATTTTGTATTGCAAGGAGCCCCACCGAATTATTCCACGGTTGTAGGTCAGCGGACAAATCTTGCATTTCTGTTCCTGGCGCGCTTATAGAAAATGCAGCTATAATGACGCAGTCTAATTGTGAATCAGACTCAAGAAACCATTACGAAGGCCAAGATGGTTTTTGTAACGTCTTGGATAAGTTTTTTTACATTCCCATGTTTAAGGGAATATTTTTCGCAGAAGTCAGAAACAGAATGCAAAGAAAGGTAGGTCTTTAATCATTTAGTCCAATTTCGATAAAAGTTTTTAGTTGGTGAGTAAACAACGGAAAACTTTTACAGACCGATTGTGCGGCTACCTTTATCAAACCATTAAAATACTTTACTGGCTACCGAACATAAATGTGAATATCCAAGAGTTTAAGTAAAAAAAATTGTGTTTTAGGCGAGCTCAAGGTATTGAACATCTAAATGCACTCAATAAACGGAAGGAACGAGGCTCTCTTTTTGCCAAACTTGATTTAAAACAAAGTATCATAAGTGGTCGTTATTGTGACGCTATCATTTCTATATTTCAGTTTTGAAAACGACTCCCGCAAAAAGATGGAGAAGCACAAAGACAAGTAACCTGATTTTTATGCCGTGTAAACGTAGCTGATTTCTTCTTATCATTTCTTTTTTTAAAGCTTCCGAACTGGAAGGACTACTTGCTAATATATAGCTGAACTGCGTAGAGCGGGCCCGGCATATTCCAAATTCCAAACCCCATCAAACCTTGAAGTTTGAAAGTTTCATCAGAACTGTTGGTATATTTAGGTCACCTTCAAATCCTGTGGAAATAATGCGATAAAATTTTCGTTTAATTTAAGCTTAGAGAAGATGAAAATCACGCTGTGGCAAAAAAACAAACAAAAACAAACAAACAAACTGAGCAAGTCTTTAGTTTGAATTTTTTTTTTAATTGTCAAGGTTTCAACTACACCTAATACAGCAAGCTTGGAAAGAGTACAGAACTAGACGAAGAGTAATAATTTTTAGCCTTAGTGATCTAAATTTTACTTATTTCATCTGTAGTCCGTGTTCAACTTCTACATTTTTAAACATCCCAAAGACCAAAACAATTGACCGTAACATCAACAGAAAAGACGTCTTTTAAGAAGCTAAAACTGGAAGTTTATGTGATGATCATGAATTTCTTAGATGCTGATATTAACTGTTAATATCATAATGTTTGTTCAACGCAAATGAATGCGCGTAATAATTCAGACAGCTTTTGAAAAATATTAATGACTTGAATTTCAGGTAATTTGAATATTATGACAGAAAATGTTACAATTAGACATTTTTAATTCAATACTTAATAAATAACAAGTACATGATTCCATCTCTCTCTTGACAGATTAGAACTGCAACGTTAATTCAACGGGTTTGAAACCTGTATGGTTGACTTTGCAGCACTAATATTTCAGACTCCCAGAAAATCTAATTAATCTATGTTCTCTCTCTGAAAAAACATTACATCGACGATTTCAGTCGCCCCTTCATATTGATGTTTTGGTACACCAACAATGCAACTGGCAAGCATTCAGTTCAATAACATAATACAAATGTAAAGCACGTTGACTCTGAGCCGTTTTTGATTGGAATATCTTTCAGAAAATTGTTAATTTGTACTTGCAAAGATGATATAATCATTGACTGATCATGTAGCCGTTACCTACTATTTTCCTCTCTCCAACAATGCAATTAGAGAATATTTTCATTTTTGAAATTATACAAATTTACAAAACCTTTTGATATTCAGAGAAAAATTTATAGTCAATTGTAATATCGTACATAAGTTTACAAAATTTGTAACTCTCCACATCTTTCAGGTGTGTGATTGTCACACATCTTGTTACACCCTCCAAACGTAATTTGCATTGTATATTAACGCAACCGACACTTGAAAAGGTTGTTTAAGGAGGCGGGTGTTTAAGGTGGATGTTGCTCTCGAGAGGAAGGCATTGTTGAAATGTTTTGAAGTTAATCGTTGTGGAGGAGTTCTCTTCGGAAGGAATCTGCCATTTTCATACACAGAAAAAAATAGACCTTTAATATATACATCAATGGAAAATGGCGTCTTTTAAGAAGCTAAAATTGGAAGAGTATGGGATGATCATGGATATTTTAGATGCTCATATTAACTTTTGATATCATAATGTTTGCTTTGAAGATTATAATCAGGCGTCCATAATTCAACGGGTTAATTCACAGTTAAACGAAAATTGTTATTTCTTACAAGAACAAGGCTGTCAATGAATACAGATGTGCAGGGTAGTTATTTTTAATAAACTGTAAAATGTTTTCGTCTGTACGTATCAGCTTCTGGAATTTTAATCATTCTCATGGTGTATTCATTTACTTTTTGAAAAAACTCAGATCTTCATTCATAAATTAAAAGAGAGAAATGAATGATTTTATTACTAATAAATGACAAACGTGAAAAAAACAATACAGACAACTTTTCATAACATTGTTTAAGTAGAGCGTGTAAATTTCATAAAATATTGAGAATGTCTTGGAAATGGATTTACAATTAAACTTCATCACTATATAACTAATATTGAACGTTTTAGCGCGTTTAGGATTACCTTAGTGATAATTTACTTCCTGCTACCAAAAAGGACCGCCAAAAAAATTGACCGAATTTTTTTCCTCAGACAGTTGGACTTGACTGAATATGAATGCTTTCTCAGGCTGAAATCGCCGATATAATGCTGAGAGAGAACAATAGGATTTTATGAGGGTCAGTAATTATTTCAAACTACAATCTTCTCCTCCTCCTTAATTTCTTATTTCGTATTCACGTGCGGCTCACGTGTGATATAATCTAACGAGATTTGAACTTGGCATTGGCAGTTGACCCAGACACTTCCGTGTACTCTTTATTTTTGTCTTGTTTCGTTTTGTTGTTTTTTTCTTCAAACTATATAGAATAATCTAGCACCTCTCTGGCCTTCTGATTGGCGGTGTTTCTGTAACATCTAGAAAATTTATCAGTATTAAAGGCTAAGGGTTTAGTCACGGATGCAGAAGGTTCCTATGCAAAACTTAAGCCATCGGCATCACTATTCCTTGCAATGGACCAATAAAAACAATTAATTTTTTTCCATATTGCTCTGTGCAAAGATCCATAGAAAAAGAAAAAGTCAGGAGATGTCCGATTATCTTACCAAAATGCAAAGAGTGGAAGATTTGGACAGCGTTGATTTCCAGGGCCTAATTGAAGTTAAGAAACTTTGGAAAGGAGGCTTTGGCGAGGTAGGAGTTTCTGTAATATGTATATTATAAATATTAAGACACATGCGGCTACTAAGAACCCCCCTTCGATCGACGAGTTAAAGGAATTTGAAGACGACATGCTAAAAATGATACAATCGACGAAACTCAAACAAGTAAACAACCCTTTTCTCAAGACGACGAAGACGACACCAAACGCATAAAAAAACGAAACCAAGCTACTCATCGCCGCTGACAAAACAACGAACCTTTACAAACTAGAACCGTCAACATACAACGATCTACTAAAGCAAAATAACACAAAGTCCTACAAAAAAGCACAACCTAATACCACACGAGCCATCCATTCAGAAAACAAAAACATCGCAACGAAACGAGGCATCGATGACAGAGTGGACATGACAGCTAACAAAGACGCTTTCATACCACTGAAAGACCACAAACCGAACTTCGCTAACAAACCGACCTGTTGACTAATTCACCCCAACAAATCCGAGATAGGCAGAATCAGCAAAACAATCCTCGACAGAATCAACAGCAAAATCACGAGAGCATCCGAATTCAATCAATGGAAAAACACAGCATCCGTGATCGAGTGGTTTAAAGCCATTAAAAACAAACAACACCACAGTTTTATTTGGTTTAACATCGAATAATTCAACCCCTCCATCAGCCAAGACCTCCTGAACAGAGCACTCGACTTCGCCTCAGCCTACGACAACATCACCGACAACGAAAGAAACATAACCCATGCAAAGCATTCGATCCTAATGCCCAAACAAAAACCCATGCAAAAGAAGGCCGATACAACATTTGAAGTCACAATGGGCGGCTACGACGGTGCCGAAACATGCGAGCTAGTAGGAAGTTCCCTCTTTTCCCAACTGCGGAAACTCAACATCAACATCGGACTTTACAGATAAGACGGACTGGCCATTTCAAACACCACACCGAGAGACACAGAAAACATCAAAAAAGAAATATGCCGCATCTTTAATCACAATGGACTACGAATCACCATCAAAGCCAACAAACAGACCATCAATTTCTTAGACGTCACTTTCAACCTGAAAAAAACACCTACCAGCCCTTCACAAAGCCTGACAAAGCAACCA